TATCTAAATATCTAGCACAAATTTTTTAGTCTTAATAAAAAGTCTAGGATGTATGATTATTGGGCAATTGTCCTAGCCTAACAATCCCAAACTGATAAACATCCTCTCAATTTAGAGCTTGTTTGGTTCCGCCATGTTAATAATTTCTTAGAATATCTTCTTCTTCTTCTTCTTCTTTTTGTTTGTTTTGTTTGAGGGGGCATAAATCTATAGAAATGTTCACCCAAAATGAGACTTTTCTTTGGAATCCATTTTCCTAGCTTTTAAGCTTGGAAATGGGATGAAAGCCACTTTTAGCAATGAAGTATATATATAGAGAGAAAAAAAAATGTTTTTTGTACTCGAACAAGGGCTTTGACTACGATAATTGCAACCATGGATTTTTTACATATTAATCCCTCATATCTTCAATAAGTTCATATTAGTCTCTCAAATCTTGGAATTCCATGTTAGTCCCTCAAATCATATGACGTCATGCGAAATCATCCCTATGATTAAATACATTTATTTGAGTAGAATATTCCGTCAAATCTAAATATTAGAAGCAAAATTAGGGCTTTACTCCTCTGTAAACTTTCTAAATCCATTTCATAATACTTTCAACCAAAAACCCACTTTCTTAAAAAAAAAAATCAAATTCACTTGAGTTCTTCCCTAATGGTCATAAAAACACCGTAACTCAAAAATTCTCATTTAAGGAATCTACAATCTTCTCCTCCATTGTTTGAAACATTAAAGGAGATGATTTTTACATCTTTTATTAAGAAGAGGGGGTAATGTGATAATTAACAGTGTTTGGCTTGTAGTCAACCCAATCATGATTTTGTTTTTTTCATTACCAAACTAACATAAGGTTGATTTCGCAAGACTCGGTAGGATTGGAGGGACTAATATGCAATTCCAAGATTTAAGGGACTAATATGCATTGTCAAGATTTAAGGCACAAATTTGTGACCTTTGAAGATTGAAGGGCCTAATACCAAAAACCCTACAATCAATTAATTTATTTATCTTTACCTGTCTTAGTACCATGAATTCCTATTTTTGGGCGCCTATATCCAGACGATAGAAGAACAAAAACCCTAACTCTAGTCGCCGCCGCCGCCGCCGCCGCCTCTTTCAATTGTAGGCAGCTGAACTTCGTCAAGATTCAGATCTAGGGCTCACAGCCACCGCCGCCGCCGCCGCCGCCGCCGCCTCCTCTTTCAATTGTAGGCAGCTGAAATTCGTCAAGATTCAGATCTAGGACTCACCGGCGACGATGTACGACGACGATGAAGACGAGGACATGAGTACCGGGATCTCAGGATCTTACACTGGATTGGGAGGTGTTGGAAAAATATCAGGTGAGAATTTTTAATGATTTTCTTCTGTCACTTCCCTTCTGATTCGAAAAGTTATCGCATAAAAGCTTATTTCAAGCCGGGCCTGCCATTTTAAAAAATTTAGCAGACGCTCTTGAAAATCTTTCTCCGGCTCGCCTCATCTCAGGGAGTTATGCTTTCGGTCTTTTTGAACATTTTATGCTTACTTTTATGTTTAATACGCTCTGAAAGTAGGGGCCGGATAGAAGATAATTAAAAGATCTCCTTATGTTCTCTTAAAAGGCGACGACTCGGAGGCAGCGATAAGTCGGATGTGCTGGCGATGCGGAGGCGGCAGCAGGACTCGGAGGTGGCAACGACTCGGAGGCAACGGCGGCA